ACCAGAGAAGGCAGGTTAACATTCTGTCTACTGGCTTGTTTCGTTTTCTTCTTTCCTTGAGTGAAACTTCCGACTGACTTCCCGAGGTCACAGTGCCTTCTCTTTAATAGGGATGGTTTGTAACATTCAAAGCCTCCAAGCGAGAGCAAAGCATCCTGACTCGTCCCCAGGACGTTATTGTAGAAAGGACTTAGCTAGTCGTCAACTGAGTTTAAAATTATTTCCGTAGAAAACATTATCTTATGTCTTAACCGTAGATAAAAGTCGACATTTCCAACGGCAAACAATCACTCTGCTCCAGCGTGATTGATTGATTGATCGGACCACGAACAAAGTTATTTTCTTTACTTTCAAATTCTTGCCGTCATTTGCTGAAAATTCTCGGCTGGCTCTGGTTGAAGTCGTTACAAAGAAAAACGTAACATCTTTTATCAGGCGTTAATTCAAGGGCTGGCGTTTAAAAACAATGTGAAGCCCCAGACAGGGTGCAACATTTCGAGCAGTTTTTTGCGCAACATATTTTTTGCTCAACTCCTGGATTTGTTACGCACAATATTGCAGAAGTAGAATTAGATTCTACTAGTGCAAGTGTAGTTGCAAGTCTTGTTTTCCCCTTCAATATTGCGCGCAGAAATTTCAGTATGGACACAAGACGCAATTGATAGGGACAGTATTGTTGCACCGTGTGTCTGGGCCTTCATTATATAATCGTGATGCTTGTGAATGCCATCTGCCATGTGATATCGGGAAAACAAGTGCAAAAACAAAACTAACTGACTCGTCCCCAGGAAAGCCGAGAAACTATTAGCACGTGAAAAAGGTAGCCTGCATAGCTCGGCGGTTTAAGCAATTTGAGCGGGAGCGCACAAAGCGGCGAAGCCGCGAGGAACTCTCCCAGGCTTCTCGCCGCTTCGACGATTTCTTAGCATGCTCAATTTGCTAAACCGCCAAGCTACGCACGCTATGAAAAAGGTAAAACGTGTCGGGGAATAAAATTAATTGTACTGTTGACATTTGAAACTTTAAAGTAAAAATAACGAAAGATGGTAATGTTAGTGAGGATGCGATGATATTCTGTAAAATGTCTTTTATCGGGTAATCGGTTAAATTACTAGTAACTTGAAAAGTCTGTTGTCACAAGCATTCCAGGCCGTGAACATGTCTAGTACACCGATCGTTGTTAAGGGTGGGTTGAGTTTTGAATATCTTGACTTTTATATCCCCTGGGAAAACGCTAGCATGTGTCGCAGCCGTCCTCCCCAAGAGAGAAAATAAGCAAATTTTCTCTTTCCTAGAGGGCGGCTGTGACGCAGGCTGGAAAAACGCGCTCTAGAAATTCAACGTTTAAGTAGTAAAAAGTTGCTTACACCACATTCGTCTT